CAAAAATGATTCTTAGCGGAATCGATATTTCTCTCTTGAGTTCCTCGATGACTCGAGTAGGAATCCCGTCGAGGCCGGTCGCCTTGCCCACCTTTTAACTTCCCTATCATTCTCACGATCGTCAATTCGGCGATGGAAATATCCTCGATGCACGCCGAAGTCACCTCCTCTAAAGACGGTGCCGAGTCGGCTTCCACAGTGGAAACGGAGGCGAAGTATCCCAGCCATACATCACTGCAATCGATCCCCCCTGTCGTTCATTAGAGGCCCGATCGATTTTGGACACCTACCACCAACACATCGATAAAAAGCCTTGGGGTTCTTCTCGGCATTGCCAGTCAGTCGTTCCTCTCGCTCCCGTCTGGCAGACTTCCTTTCCCGCTTCAACGTCCTCGCGGTCCTCCTATATTCTTCATAGTCCGTTCTATCTCCCGTACGTATCTCATTTCTGATTTTTATCCCTGATGAGTGCTTTCATTTTACCCGTAATTCAGACCGGTTGCCTGACCGATTTCGTGGACTTCTTGGGGATGCATTCCTTCTTAAAGCCTTGCAATAACGTCTCAATTGCTCTTCTACCGTCAGCCCACGGAACTTTTCCTCCCAGTCGATACCTGAAACGCATTCACGTAGCCTCTCGAAATTAGCCTTCTTATAATTGTACGAAACCTTCGTCGGTTTGGCATTACTCTTCGTCCGCTTCATATTCCACGCGATCGCGCAGCGGTCCGAATCTCCAAAGTTATCCTGTTACCTTAACGTTTAATGCCAGATCGTCGTTCGTCACGAAAACTGAACCCAATAGAACTTCCTCGCGAGTCGGTTCTTCTACTGTACGTGCCGAACGAGTCCCTCGCCGCAACGAGAAATTCCCTATCCCTTTCGCTCCTCCCTCGCTGCACAGACCAATCTATGTTAGGCATGTTAAAGTCTCCGAAGAACAATACCTGCTTCGAGATCTCGCCGATCCTACGCATCAGTGCAAAATAAGCTGCTTCATCCTCACGAGAAGAGTTTGGGGGGCCTATAGCAAATTCCTAGCACGATCTTCCCAGTTGTCCCTCCGATCTCGCACCATAAGTGTTCGATTGTCCCACAGTTAGCCCACGAAGCTTGTTCGTCTCAGTCACCGACTCGGGATCCATCGTTTCGAATTAGGTGCCGTCTGTCAATAAATGCAGTCATGGTGTAGGCATAGTTTCGCAGTTGGAGTTCGAGGCGAACACGAAAAGAATCATTTGTAACTTGTGCGATCGTCCTGAAAATACGACCTGTATCAAAATTATTCCTGGAAAAGACCTAGGTGAGAGTGTCTTCATTCCCAGGATCCAGAATGCCTTTCATTAACAAATCCTGCGGTCAAAAAGATACGAGGCGGTTGGGAATTATCACTTAACTCAGTGTTCAGCCGTTGTTCATTCGTTCGTATTCGGTGTTCGTGCGTTGCCCTTTCCGGAGTAAAGACGCGTTGAAGAAACGGGACACACCTTTCGAACGATCCATCCGCATCTTCACTGGAACAGAGAGATATAAATTTGATTTACCACCTCCTTGCTTCGGTGAACAGACTAAGCACTAGATTGGAGCAGGGCCTTGGAGGCAATTTCCAAGGGCTGTCAACCATGATTATTAATGAAACGCTTTCTCTATGTAACATTTCCCCCATCCAGTTTTCAACACGAAAGGCCAACATCTAAACACCTCGCGTGTTCATGGCCATCGACTAGTTTTTGCGAACGTCGAGGCACCTTGCGATGAAACTGAAAATTGACGTTCTAACGTATCGAGACGCCCTGGAAATTTACTGTAATCTACAGGAAAGGGAAAAATTGACTTCCCACTCCGAGTTCCTCGACGCGAATGATGTTTCCAGCAAAACGGGGAGAATGCAGTCGTGAAAGACGGTCTTTTGCATTCCGTTTTTCCCTGCCCGAGAACGAGAAGTCTCATTCCTGAGCTCCCTTTCGAGACTCCAAAGTTTTCGTCTGTGCACGTGATAGAACCTTATTAGCGGAAAGGCGCTGGGCGAAAAAATGGAAGCAATCCCTTTTCTCTATCGTCTCCTACTGGCAAAATTAAAATCCACGGACGAACTTCCACTTTCCTCTCGCTGCAGAATTTTTTTTCATTTGCGGAACTCTGGCCTGAAAAAGTAATGGGCATAATTACAATCGAGTGTCAGTTATTGCAGTAAATTCTTGCTGGTTCTAATTTATGCAACTTTTTAACTTGATAATTCCATCTCCAACGCCAGTTTTACTGATCGCTGTTTTGTACGTGAAGTCACTAAACAAACGTGGGGAGAGAGATTTCTCACGAACTTCATTCCATCTTTTCTTGAGTTCCGCCAGGTGTGGTGGCACGATGAGACAAGAACGATGCGAAAAAGGGGGATGATAATTTTACTCCAATAACAACAATAAATGGAGATCTCTTCTTCACAAACAACAAGCAACAACCCTTCACAACTTTTTCGCATCCTGAATTCATAATCATATCTTAAAATGAAGTCAGCTTTGTGCAGACCCCGAGTCACTTGAACCCGAAGTAAAAACAGACTTCAGAAAATTTCAAGAGGTTCCCTTTCATACAAAACAAGTCAAAAGCCAGGATAACAGGGAAGTGATTTGTTGAGGGCACATGGGCTTTCACATCGCCTTCGCCACAGTTTGTGGAGTTCTACTTGCAACTCTTATCAGAAATGGGTACTCAGATCTGGTATGATTCCACTATTGAACTTCTTAGTGATAAGAAAGATATCACCACAGTGAACAGCTGACAAGCATTCATATAGAAGGTGATCTCATGATGAGCTCCATCGAAATGTTGCAGTTATACAGATTCATTGAGGAGATCATTCAATATTAAGTATCTCTTTCATCAACAAGCTGACTTTACTGCTTCGATGTAGGAGGAATTGAATGATGCACGATATCGAAAAGAAGGCCTCCAGAAACTTGTCGCATCCAGGATTTTTTTCCAGTGGTAAATGGTTTGCCAGGATTAGTAATGCCCTGCATGGATCAGACAACATTCCAAAACATTCCATGCAAGTTCTCCCATCATTGCACATCTGAGCAATGATAACAGAGAAAAAAAAAGAGTGCCCGTGAAAAGCCTGCAGATGACTTGTCCAAAGTCATTTTGACAGGGTTCAGTCCATTGTAAATATTGTTGCAAGAGAAGACGAACAGCAAGCATGGGAATAACAGGATGTACATCTGGAATATGAAAATGCAATTCCCTACATGGCTAGGCCAGCTGGGCAAAGCCCAGTTCAATGGCATGCCTCCCTTTCAGTATATTGTCTCACAAGGTATGTGGTACATGAAACATTAGGAGACAGAGAGAAGGAAGTTTGGAGAAAAGGATGTCTCCAGACAATGTGTGCATTTCTGGTGGGGATGGTGGTAGCTGGTGATGGTTGGTAGGGGATCACTAGCCTTCCCATCCATTCCATTGACCTCTACCCAAGTTTAATTTTACACATATTTTCTTTTAAATTGGTTACAGCAAACTATGGGTTTTACAAAGCCAAGACAAATACCTATTAGTATGAAGCAGCAGGCCTAATAATCCAGAAAACAGGTGAAAGCTATGGGGGAAGCACGCACACAGATATCTGAGCACTTGCACAAGAACTGCCATTGAAATTTTTTTCAAGCTCACTAAAAGAGTTGCTTCATTCTTCACACAGGTCACAAAGTTGTGAACAATGCAAAATGAATCAATGGCCTTTCATTCAGATCTTGTGATAAATTCTTACTGCATCGAGGGTTACCCGGATAACCTTGCCTAATGAATTATGTGAGGACTTCCTTCTAGGTCTTGGATGCACTGAGGGTGGGACATGCCTTTGAATCATGTCAAGTTAGTGACAATATAATTTTGCCACATGCTAGAGGTTTGCAGATCTTTCACCGAACCTCTGTACTAGACTTATTGGAGGGAACTGATGGAGCAATTGAAAGTACCCTGACCACAAAACCCCTGAAAAAGCATTAGAATATCAGGTACTGCATTGAGTTTGGCATGCCTCTGCAGCTGTTAAACGAGGAAAGGTCCAAGTTACTGCAGTTCAAAGAAACTTAAGATGAACCTGAAAGCATCAAGAACAATGCACGATTGTGCACTTCTGGACATTGAGCATAATGAGACATATATGATTAAATAATATCCCAATACAGTATCATGCCAGAGTGACATTCCTTTACTATCCCTTATTTCTTCTATGCGTTGGTTAAGAATTCACATTAGACTTCCATTGTCTCCACTGATTTCAATGGAGGGAGGGGAAGGTGGGATATTCTGTTCTACTCTGTTTTCCCAGGATTTCTAAAAAAAAGTTCCCCATGTGAATCCTTCCAAGCAACTTCTCACCATTCAATCACTCATAAGAGCTGAAAGCACATAATCCCTGTTGTCATGCTATTGGATAAAAGGATTTTCAGAGATTCAAGATGACTGACTGAGGTCAAACAATGTTCCTCAAAGTGGAATACCATTAGTGATAGAGGAGTGGAGACTGGTAAAGCTTGGGATATAGTCCATACCATTTGGTTCCACAAAGACTGACCCTAACGATCAATTAGATGGACTGGAATGAAAAGCTAACATGAGAAAGCAACTAAATAGAGGAGATTAAGAAAGATATTCCATCATCTCAGTCCTTCAAGAGCAAAAACCTCTATGGTACCTACTTGTCACATCCACACCGCAGACACCAATACGTCAGTGCAAAGGACACATTGAAAAAACATGATTGTGTGAACAGCATCACAGTTCTACAAGGATGGGTACAGAGAATCATGTCAAAGTGAAGGAACATGAGTGAGAGATACTCCAGCAGGAGATACTGTGATTTGGCACTGGTATAGAGAAAACAGGAAGGGTCTCACAATAACAGCATAAATGCCAAGGACTCCTTGCAAGAAATGAAGCCCCAATGTGTTACAAATGTTTTCCATCATCTTACAGAATTACATACATCAAAATTAATATGGGATATCAAGGTTTCAATAGGAGGGAATGTCTGGCACAGCAAAAGGACAGGGGCTGCAGCATAGGAAAGAGTGGCTCCATGCATTTTTCTTAAGGGATGGGGGAAAGGAGGGTGGTGCTATATACAGAGAATGAAGAGAGAAGAAAAGGGAAGCTTTTCATGCAGAAATGAAACTCCTCTGATCCTTGTAACATGACATGGAATTTCCATAGGAGCTATGAGCCCATGCAAGTTAGATGAAATGCCTCCATGAATCATTTGAGGCCTGTCAGACCCAAGCTCCCCTGGATCTGTCATAGAGCGTAAGTTCCCACAGGCACATTGGACTGTCCCTGCAATGAATTTGTGCATATGCAGAAATCTTGCACATGCATGTCTATCATGCTATCATAAACTGAACCATCATCCCATATTAATTTTGATGCATGCTTACCATGAATATATCACTCCTTCCTTCCTGCAAAAGTATGAATAAAGATTGTTGCAGTCTAGGATGTAAATGAAATCTTGTAGGAAAGCGAGGAAAGAGTTATAAAATCTCAACAGATTTTTCCCTCAAGGTCACAACCCTGAATGAAAGAATAATGCATCACAATGACTATTTCATGAATCTCCCTTCATCGTAGGTCTTCTGACTTGCTAGTTTCTCTCCCTTGTGATTCCAGCCTAGATTCTTCATCTTATTGAAGAAGGTCTCAACTTCTTGACACTTTAGTATTTGCATAGAGCAATGATCCCTTGCAAGAAGTCTAGGGCAAACATGCAAGTCAAACAAAAATGAGACTAGATCATTGGACTGGAAGGATTGACTGCCACACAGATGGCTTGGTCAAATCACTTTTTCTTTTTTCGAAATGTCTTTGTCTCGTGCACAGCAGCAACCAAACTCTTTACTGCTTCTTCATGCCCTTCAAAGCTATCTGCTTTCTTCAACTGACCCTCTCCTGTGCAGACATTGTCAAAGTTCTCACATGAGTTTTGCTTCTTCATGACTGCACTTGCACTCTCACCTCGTTTCAATGAAGAACTCCCTGAACCCTGAACAGTGGCTGAGGAATATCGACGGCGATCCCGTTCGGTCACCTTTGCACACCCACTACCTCCTTTCTTAGTAGTCCCAGGCTCCTGATGGACCATAGCCTTCACCTCCTTCACTGTTTCATAATGACTGCTTTTCTCTCGCTTTCTTGCACCACTTGGGACATTGTCATAAACACGAGACTGAGCCATCTGATATCGGCGGCACTCTGGGCAATCTGGAATGCCATCATTCCCTGTCCCATAAATGCCTTGAGCAGCTGCAGCAGCAGCTGCCGCTGCAACCATGGCAGCTGCACATTGTTCGCACTCCAGTGGTCCTATGCCACTCTCATCAAGTTCCCCATCACTCTTTGATAAGGACTTCCCTCCCTTGTCCTCACGACTGGAAGAGCGTTCTCGATCCTTGATCCGAATCCGCCCACTCCCCTTCTCCTCCGTGCAGCGAACCTTCTCGAGGAGTTGAGATAGAAAGCCTTTCTTTGTCCCATCCAAAACAAGGGCCTCATTCTCTGTGTCACTCCTAGCTGAGCCTAAGAAGAATATAAGAATAAGAGCAGTTCAATTGAAGGAAAACAGGGTTTAGCAGTGGCAATATCATATTCTTTGTGTGGAATTCTAACTGCAAGAAATGTTAGGTAATTGGAGAAATGTTTTGGAGAAATTAGACACCTCAATGCATGAAATTCCTTATTAAAGAACTAGGTATTCCCATCCTCAAGGAGTTACTTATTGCATTGAATCAACTGTGCCAAATAATTGTACTTTTTTTTTCTTAGAGGTCATGAAAAGACAATATTACATCTCTAATCAGCATTCTAATGAGTCATTGCTTATAATGTTTGAATTATGAGAGCGACTAGAAATGTTCCATGCTTTTACAATACTTCATGTCTCATATAAATACAAATAAAGAACATCAAGAAATACATGAGAAATATCCCACAACTATTCATTGGCTAATGGTCTCATATTAGACTTCAGTTAGCATGGCAAGTAGGGAAGAAGGGGATTAGACAAAAGTGAAAGAGTGAAAAAAATGGTTTGAAGTAATTTCTTGCATATTGATGGATTAGTTAACACCACTTCCATGATAAATGATTTTCCAATATCCAATATCACTGATAAAAAAAAATAAGGTTTTCCTAAACAGTTCAAAGGACATATTATAAATTTATAAAAATAAGACAAAATGATAAATAAAACTGTCATTTGATTGTTAAAGGGAGCACACAAGCTGTCAGAAAAACTAAATTTTGTCAGTTCATACACCAAAAATTTTGGGGATTTTTTTTCCTCTTCAAATTTAAAGTTTGAAATGTTTAGTAATCCCACTCTTTTGTCATATATACTTCTCATCTTTCTAATAAATTGACGTAATCATCTTATGGTGTGAACAAAACTTTGACTAAGTAGTGATTTTTATTCATACATTAAAGCTTTCATGGCCTTAAAACTTAATTTATTGCACTTTCACAAGTATCTGCACTACCTTGAGCACTGATCTATGACCTCTATGACCTTATGTAATGGTATGCATGCTCACCAGTGTGTTCCTCCCTAAGAGCAAAGGAGGCATGGTCACTTCCTGGAGCACCACTGAAACATTCCCTGTAAAACATGAGAACCACAAAACATTAATCACAAATTTTACTTGCAAAGAATGAAGCAAGACCAATTAAAATGGAATGCTACAGGCATGAATAATGTATTTTCTCCCATTCCAGTATGAGGCCAGTATTTTTTATCATATTTATCTGTAGTCATATAGGTGACTCATCTTATGTTGGGGATGGGGACAATCCTTTGGTTCTGTAGGCAATAGCATTCATTATATAAACAGGTTGGTCATCATATCCTCATATGATATCTCCTTTTTACATAATGGTAATCAAGTAAAAAGATTCATAACCTATCAAATCCATCGATTTGCCACTGTAAGACCAAGAAGTTGCCAGAGATAATAAACTTGGCATAAATTCATGTTGAAAACTCTTGATGTGAATACATTTCTGTACCAAACTAAGATCTGCAAACCTCCCTGATGTCAAGATTACTCAACCATTTCTCAACATTAAAATTTAAACTGCCAACATACAACCCCAAAGTTCAAGAATTCTGATAGGTTGTGTTTTCCTTATCCACTATATCAGTGATTCCCAACTGGTGTGCCGCAGCACACTTAGGTGTGCTGCCAAAAAAAGAAGGTTGAGAACCTATATTATCACTTTACATATTATCCCCAAGATGATGAATAACAAGTCAGATTGTCTTCATCAGATGTAACTATCAGATGGCCAAGCATACCTAATATGAACAGTGGAACAGAAGAATCACCTGAGCTGCTCAATGCCTGCATTGTCAAGAGCTGATTGTGGGGACTCTTCAGTGGACAATGGAGGAGGCAGTGAAAGGGCGATGGAGCCTTTTCCTGCATCAACTCCTGGGCTTCCAGGCGAATTCAAGTTGGGTGACATCCTCTCCATCAGTTGGGATATGCTTTTTATATATGGCTCAAGTTGTTGCACTATGTGCATCAGCTGCTGATTCTCTCGCTGCATCACCACCACCTCATTTACCTAAAATTATTTCACAAGAGGAGCAGAGTTGTGAATAAAGGCACTGTGACATGAATTTCTCCCTGGCT